TACCAACGCGTATCTTTCTCCCTTTTAAACTTTATAAATAATTTTTTTTTCCATTTAACGAACGTAGTATTCTACCTATAGGTAATATTTAATACAATAAGATACCGTAGTTATATGATTGAAATCGTAAAACTCGATTTCGTTGGACTTAACTTCGTTTTACTCGGACATAGCACGTTTCAGATATAATCAAAAACGTAAAAAATACGACTTTATTTTCATCTTCTTCAGTCTATACTAAAATTTTAATCTTAAAAATAAATCGCTTATTATATACGAACACGAATTAATAATCAATTACGTTAGACTGCAGTATATGATCATGTGGCATTCAATTTGGAGGCCCTGCTAAGGTTCACGGACAGATGCATCAAGTTCAAACTTTTAAGTCGAAAGAACTATTAAAGACTTTTCACTGGTAACGGTGGTATAAAACTGGTTCAGCTCTCCATTATGACTTATAAATTATAATTTATAAAATTACAATGGAACTTTTAAACTTTTAAACTTTTAAGCTTCTACAAAAATTTTCTTTCTAAATTAATCAGCCATAACAAACACTTAATTACAAACATATTTTTTCTCACATTTCGACAAAACATTCACCGACGTTTAATAATAAACTGGGCTAGAGACATTTTAAAATAAAATACACATAGCATTTTTAAATTTGTAAATGCATAATAATATAGTATCATAAAAAAATTCACGTAATGATAACGTCTTTGAAAAACTTTATCAGTTAAGTACTATTTAGTCGTTCCGAATGAGCTTAATTTAATTTACTATTTATATACCTATTATATTATCTATCGATGCTGTTCATTTTTTTAAAATTATAACAAAATTCTTCTTGAATTCGTAACAGTGAAATAATAAAACATAATATTATTTAGTCATCTATCATTTTTGTATTATCGTCAATTGTGTTCGCGTTGAATAATGCTTTTTCGGGTGGTGTGACGTACAATGGCATTCTAAATGTATTTATAAATTAATACGATTTCCGTTTTTGACAGTTTTATAATAACATATAGGTGTGACGTATTCGCACTCGTTTTGCCTTATTTCAATTTTGTGTACCTATGTGATTGGTTTTTGCAATAATTTCAAACATTTCAATTTTTTTTTTTAAACGTGACTCTTTTCAACCATTCGATTTTAATATTAAAATCACTCGAATTTACATATTGTGGGTATTAAACCAGTTTACAGGTAAACATCGATCATTTTATCAATACGATTATATGATTTATAATTCCAACATCGTTGTGAGACGAAAAAGATAAGACGTATTGAACAATTAGGAGAAAAAACAAAACTAATAACAGACTAACGTATCAAACGAATAACCTTGGAATTAAATTATAAAAGTATAAAACAATCAACGTAGTGCAAAAGTTCAATTTAAGGAAATACCGAAACGGTTATGATTTAAATTTTGTGTACAAAATTAATATTTAATAATAATTATGATATTTAATTTATACGGCAGTAAAATATGAACGTTGTACGAACACAACTGTAAATGACATGTAACAAGTGGCGCCACTTCTACATCAGTAAAGTGTGAAAATATCGTACCGTTCCAAACACAAAATTTTGTGGAATCCAGGACAGTTGGTCAAAAACATTTCATAAAAAGTTAGTTCATTAAACAAAATTCGTCAATAATACAGTTTGTTGAAATACTTTTCTTTAATAAAATTAACAATTATATTTGATATACTTACTTAATGTTGAATAATACTTTTATGTACACTATATGCAACCCGCAGCAATCACTATACGCGTTACGGTTATTTAAAGTTTAAATCAGAATTCTGAGCATATTAGGGTTGTAAGAAAATACTATTATGATTATATTAAATGTCTATTAAAAATAGAGCCCAAATATATTTAAATTACGGTTTTTAGAAACATAAATACAAAATTTAGGTGTTCATAACCTTTATTATTCGGGTTAATACGACTTAATACGTAATGTTTTAAGTAGTTTAGGAATAACTTGATTTCAAAAACTGAGTAGGTATAAAATTGTTTATATCATATCCTATAAGATATTCTTCACGACAGTAATTAAGTATTAAATAACTAATTACAAAGTTGAATGGTGTCTATAAATGTTGCTTTTCATCAAAAAATTCTATAGTTAATTTTATACAAGTTGCCTCCAGACTACACAAAATAATATGATCGTAACAAAACAAACTTAAGTCTAGTCGCCTCCAAATTTGGAAGTAATAAATTTATTAGTAGTTCCTACACGATTGAACAATGTTTTACCATTGTGTATAAAAATAGATTTAATTTATAACTGCTGCAGGTGCATTATTGATATGATTATAATATGACTAAACATTAGAGATAATAGTATACTATAACAATTACATGCCACGATCGTGTTGAGGTCGTGTGTGCCTCTGTGCCGTCATGAATGATCGAGAAAAGTTAGTAGATTTTAACATTCGAGTAATCGTTTTATGATTTTATTTTCACAAGTTATTGAGTGATTGAAAATTGTTAAGCTAGTTTTTAAATCAAATCAATTTCATGTGACAGAATTGTATAATTAAAAGGGCAAACGTGTTAAAATGTGTTTAAAAATTAGGTACATTGCAATCAATTATTTTGGTATGGAGTTTTTTCTTGATTTAAAATACAACCACTATGTTTATTATTATAATGAAATTATCTAAAAACTAATTGATAATGATTAAATTATTTAATTGCAAATCAATATGTCCATTATGAAATTTGTAGGTAGTCGTATTTTATGTTTTTAAAGTTCAAACCTATTTCTAACAAGACGTGTATAACAAGGTATATCAAACCGTTAACACATACAAAGTTTTTGATTTTAATAATAGTTTTTTAACGATATAATTGTAAGTTACAAAATTAATATTTGGGCTAGACGTGATATCAAGGTATGCAAAAGCTTTTGTCAATCTTGATTTTATGCATTACTCGCGATAATCATGTAGTAATTTATTCGAATGATACAAGCTACCAGATATCTCGAGTCCGACCTAGGTATGCACAAGTCACAGGTTGGGATGATATAACATGATGTAATCGTCTGAAAATAGTTCGGCCTCTCGAGACGATTATCGAAGTCACACCATTTAATATCACCTAATAATAATAATAATTATTATTATTATTATTTTTATCATATTTTGGGAAAAACTGAAGATCGGGGAAAAAAAACATTTTGTTTAACTACTAATCACCCGTGCAAGACGTGCACATATCGATACGATATTCCGAGTTATTGAAAGAACGAACTACTGTATATAATGTTACGGTGAACGCGTCGGTAACGGAAAATACCCAGATAAAAATATATAGGTCAATGCTCAATTGATGACGGATGACAGGGTTGGTAGAAAGGAGGATGTGGAGGTGTATGATTGTGCTACTGTTACCCCAATAATAAATAATCCGGTGGACGAGTGATACTCTCATTTTCAAGCATCCATATATAAACACAATACTGCGGATCATAAATTAATATTTCATCGAATGGTTCTGAAATGAAATTATATCAGTAGAATTCTATGCGCGTGCGTATAATTATTGTAAACTGCAGTTATAGTAGTTGACGACCGATCMGATAAATTATACGTTTATGTGAGGATTAAAATGTTATGATTATTGATTGGTAACAATAATTTGTGTGTGTGTTCTTGAATTTTTACTTTTTTTGTAAGTTTTATTTGGTTTTTTTTTTTTTACTTTTTTGATCTTAAGCACCAATTTTCAATTTATTTTAAATGTGGTTTTTACAGTTTTGGTAGTAAATATGAGATACCTATAGCTGATATTTTAAATGTATTAGTTTTAACTCATAATTATTATATGAATGTAATAGGTACTTACTCTCACCGCCCTCTATGTTGTATTATACTCAAATAATTGTAGTGTATGCTTAGAAATTTCTTGTGGACTATAGCCTCATATAAAATAATATTATTTACGTTATTTTATCATTTTTGTGCATGTCGCAAGTCCACTAAATTCTTAAATAAATCTTAGAATATGTTGATCAACGTATAAAGTATGACATAGTATGATTATTTATATTACGTATATAAAATATATCTAACAGTTAAAAATATTTTTAAAGACCTTTGAGTTGTTTAAATAATAAAGCCTCAGGGCATTAAAAATAAAAGCATCCATTACTATATTAAATGCATTTTTATATTATGAACCTAAATCACTTACTAAAACATCGAAAACACACTTGTGTACTACAACACGTAGCGCACCTATTTTTAGAATAAATGTATTGGGCACATAAACAGTTAAACTATAATGAATAATTATAATTAAGAGTGGGTATTATAGATACATCGAAATATTGTTAATATTAACAATAAGAGTAATAAATATTTTGTATGATAAAAAATAAAACACCGTACCATCCGGTAAAAATTTCAGAAATGAGCGCTTCTAGCTTAGAAAAAAAGTAAGACAAAATTACTCATCAAATATCTTCATAAAATTTCATTAGTTTTCTCGAGGCGTTATAGAACTGAGGAGTCCGTTCAGAAATTTTATTTTAAAAGTTTGCCACAAATGCAACACAAACAGCTGTTTTTTTTTATTAATACATCATTGTAGTATATAATGCAATAAATGAACTCTGGTTCAAATCAACTCAAACGTGCCTATTTAGAACGAAAAAAATAACATAGTGACGTGCAATCCAAAAACTATTGGTAAAAGTTATACAATAAAGGCATACAATCAAACTATCTCATTTTTATATATATATATATATAAAACTTTATTATTTATACTGACCAAACGACTATTTTAAACACTAATGTTATGAACACTTAAATATAATATGATAGATTTTAAGTATAAAATTGTAACTACGATACGTATTGATGTTTATAATCAAACAACATGAATGTGTTAAACATACATTAAAAATATATTTTAAGAATTTTATTCAGTGATTTTTACATTTGAATAAGTAAGTTATGGACAACGATAACGAGCAATTAATATGCAAAATAGAACAGATGGAAATGTATATACATGAACTAGAAACCAAACTAGATGACCGTGTATATGAAATTGATAAATTGGCTAATAAGATGTACGCAGGGTTTGACATGCTGGATACAGTTAAAACTAAACAGGATGAACTATTCCACGAGTTGGAAAATAAAAACAAAGAATTAATTCGAGAGTTGGACGCGTTTCAATGTATGTTCAATACGCGTTCGTTGTACTATCAAGAAGAAATCGATTGTTTAAAGTATCAGTTAGCCAAGAATGAGGCAAAGTCAAAGGAAGAGCTAGAAAACATTGAGGCGAACCACTTGGAAGAAATTAAAACAATGCAAGAGCAGCTGTCTAGTGCGACGAAAAAGTTTCATGACTGCAAACGATTATTGAAATCAGAACTCAAAGTAAAAGATCAAGAAATAATTAGTATACAAAACTCTTTAACGGACAAGATCATCAAATACGCAGAGTTGGAGAAAAAAATGAGCATCGAACAAGACCGTTGCGAGAGTTTGCAAACGTCGTTGAGCGAATTCAAATTTAAGTATGAAAATGACGTATGTGCAACTCAGGCAGAGATGACTGGACTGCGAACGGAATTGAAACAAAATGTCGTTAAATTAGAGGAAGCTGAACATCAATTACAAGAAATACGAGGTGAAATAGTAAAACGAACAACGGAGTTTGAGAAGACAATTCAAGAAACAAAGGAAGCTTTATGCAAAGAAAAAAATAAAATAGAGGAGAAAAATAGTAAACTTAATGCTAGTAATAAGTCGTTGGTCTCAAACATGGATAGTATTAATACGAAACTATGTAACGCACTAATGGAAAACAAAACGTTGAAATTTCAGCTCGCAAATCAACACGAATCGATTAAGGTTTTGGAGGCAATGAAAAACAAATTACAACAAGAGATAGAAAATATCAAAGATAACGAAGAGTTGTCAGCAAAAATTCTGATTACAGAGCGTGAACAGCATGCCCGAGAGCAAATGATTTTTGAAAAGAAATTAAAATTCAAAGCTCAGGATGAGCGTGAACTCAAAGAATTGAGTAAAAAACTATCAGAACGAATTAAATATTTGAATAAAATGATACACGAAGACGATATGTCCAAAATATGAATATTTTTAAATTTTAATTTATCTTCAGAAATCTTTTGCACTTTAGGTAGGAATTGAAAAATAATATCGTCAATTTTATAACTTGCCGATCAAAAATAATTGACTTTTGGAAAGAATAAACACAGGTTATAATAGGAAACGGAAAAAGTGCAACAAATTTCTAAAAATAAATTAAAATGTATAAATTTAAAAATGTTCATATTTTGAACATTCGTCTTCGGGTATCATTCTATTCAAATATTTAATTCGTTCTGAAGTTTGGGCCTTGGGCGGGTGTATAAATAATAATAATTAGTATTTGTTATTCTTGTAAAAAATAAATGCACATGATACAGTATAAATGAAAATTGTATTTGATTATAATGTTGACCAGAATGCCGAATAATTGTTTTGTACACTTACTCAAACATTTAAACGCATTGTCTTTAACAAAAAATATTTAATTTTAAAACACGAAAAAATGTATTATGCACCAAGTGTTTTACATTATGATTATCCAATGCAATATTATTATTATAATCGTGTAAATTAGGTAAGCGTATATTAATATTATATAAGGAATGTCAAATAACAGGGTTATATTTATCTTAAATTAATCTTTACTATCGTTCATAAATATGTGAATGTACGTAAATCGATTTTAGTTGGTTTCGGCAGAACACTTACTTTACTTCATGGAGGTGTTTTAGCTTGGTGATACGAAATTCGGCAGTAATCGTTTCATAATTATATTCGTCAAGTCTCCGCTGGTGGTGATGTCTTGACTGTTGGGAAGATAAATATTGCGAATCGTTATTTGTTTTCTGAACGTTATTTGCGCAGCTGTTACACTGAGATTGGAATCAATTTGAWTAGGCATTGACGGATACGTTTTGTGAACGAAAATTGCCGAACCGCCATCAGCTAGCTAGCTGTGTATTATGCATAAGGCGCGATTACAGGCGCTTTTCGTAGTGGCGGCTTCGCTATTATATTGCCGTAGTTTTAGTAAGCCGTTTTTGGATTAATTACAGCTTTTTGTAAACAAATAGCGATTGATTTAACAGCAGTTCGTATGATCTAAGTCGGAAGATCTGTACGAAAGCCAACACTTACGAGACTCGTCACTATACCGAAAAGAATAATTATTGTTTTTAAAAATATAATTTCCATGAGTAGTTAAATTTTACTAAAAACAACAATTTATCTAAACAATCATATTAAAATTTATAATTATTTTTGGAGAGCAAAAAACACTTTTGATTTTGAATGTTATTAAACATGTTTCTGAGAATATTGAAAATCAAATTTCCTAAATGCAATTAATTGGTTGAAAAAGTTTTGTGGGTCAACTCCTTCTAACATTTAATCAATAGGTAGAAATCGAGTAAAATTATTGCCGTGGAGAAAAAGGAGAAACTAAAAATATGAAATACATATATAATATATAGGTACTATAAAAATATCTCACTTCAATTGAAGTAAAATTATTCGAATTTCATAATGAATAATACTACCTACTTAAAAGTTCCTTTTTCTTGTAAATTTTAAGTAAGTTTATTCAAAAACCTGAGTAATTGGAAATTACTTTGTACTAAATAACTCATAAAGTATTCAATTTAATTACCTAATAAGCCATTCAAGTTTAAGTACCTATACCGAATCTTTACATTGAATTTCAAACACTCCGATAAGTATTCACCGTATTTACGTATTTTCTACGATTTTCTATATTATAATATCATTAAACAAAGTTAAAAGGGTACACTAAAATATCTAAAAATATAATCAGATTTCACCCTGCATTTTCGGATAAGGTCTGAATTTACAGTATGCAAAATAAAACGCATACTTACCTAAACTGACAACTTTGTGTATTACAGTGGTCGAAGTAGTTAAAAATAAGTGGATAATTGAAAATTAAAAAAATTAAAAAATGGAGGGATGTCATTTTATTTCTTAACCCCCTCTTTCGCCATTGACTACTGTCTACGGACATGTAAGTCATACAGGAATAACTTTACAAATATTATAAAACTATACTATCAAGTCTTCTTATGTATCTACGGCKAAAACAGTAACATACTAAGTGTGAACGGCTTAAACGGATAAGTTTATTGATCGTATAACTCCGAATGTCTAAACTCATTAAAATAACATATTTTTTCGGTTGCACGCGAGCGTTTAATTTACGTTTGTAAAAGCAGCAATAATATCCTCTAAATGACGTGTTTTTTATATTATTAACTACTGATTCCGAGGGAATTAATTTTGCAATTTTTTGTGCGACATGGTACGCGTATTTTACTGGGCACGTGAGCGGTGGAGAGRGATCGACCGACATAAAAATTCGTCCTCGTCGCCGTCGTCATCGTTGTCGTGCGACAATAACTCATAGCGGTGTATAATATATTGCGACGTATATACGTTCGAGATTCGGTCGTCGTCGAGGATTTATCGTATCGTATTTTTTCACCACTTTCCTACTCGTCGTACCCTCCCCACGACAGCAATCTCCGAGCCCGCTCTTTTTCACCGCTGAATTTCGCTAGAGCACGTGGCCGGCCGCGGGAATGATGAATCTGTACTCGGAATGTAATTTAAGACGTATTTGTCTTGGGGGGCGATATGACGTTTCGAATCTCAGCGAGCACCTACCGCGTACACCCATACACCCACATATCCATACACTCACACACACGTGTACGACAAGCACTATCTGCACGTTCCACGTTCGTGTTTTATCGATCGCTATAGAAATGTTTAGGAGAGTTGTGTGGTGGTACTCGCAAGGGGGAGGGGTGTATTGAAAAGAACAGAATATTGATGGGCAGGCTATAAATCAGAAACGTTTTTTCCCCCATTCCTCACCTTCAGCACCCCTTGCACACCCGCGCCCACCAGCACGCCATTCACTTGTCTAGCGCGATTGATAGACGACGTCGTGGCTAGGGGTGAGACAGAGAACCATGACGTACCAAACTGCCCTTCTCGGTCACCCTGTCCGAAAAGACGTTTTTCGCACGATGCAATAACGACAAATACCGGTTTTGTACTCAAACTGACTACGTGGTATATGGTATTTTTATACCATCGTTATCATCACTAAAACGACGGGCAGAGAGCTTAGCGCGAATACACGATCGATACAAAAGCGAAACAATAGCAAAAAAAAATTAAAAAAGCACAACGACCGGGTCGCTTTTTCTACGCACACACCATCATCGATCATGACTGGTCGAACGAGTCGATAAAAATGTTAAGGCGAATTCATCGGCAAAAGGAGACGACGAGTACGACCAACCAGAACCAGAAAAGCCATGACAGTTTATACATGATTACACTCCAATACACGGGATGACGTAGGTACCTATTGTTCTAGCTACTCGTACAAATATAATATAATTAAAATCGTTGGGATGCTCACAGGGATTTGTTCCGACGAGAAATATTCATTTTCATATTTACCCTACTACAATTCATAAATATTTTTAGTCATGTTTTGAAAATGTCGAATTAACTCAAATATATTATGACACTCCAATACTTTTGAATAATCAAACACCCAGCACCCATATAACCCGAAAATTCTTTACTTTGCGTATTTGAATAAGAATTTGAAATAACACTCTTTCAATTGTTTATTAGTTTTGACTTGAACTCATATTAAATTGAATAATAAAAAATCTTTTATTAAATAGTAACCCTAGGAATCGTGGCCATTGGGAGAATATAAATAATAAAGATTATTAATACCCAAAAGTTTGTTCCCTTTATTTTTATTGTGATATTTTAGCACCCCGAAACATCTAGTACCCAAAACCAAAATAAAATATGATTCTGGCGCAAACCCTTGTTTATTAAGCATTATTAAAAGTCTAAGGTTGGTGTTCATTCTATTTATTTTAATATAACTATTATGAGTATACAAAAATAAAATATTTACCTTGCGAAAAAAATCGCCGACGTCATAAAAATATATTCTCGGTTATCAACTATAAATTATATTAACCAGCAAAGAGGTAGGTACTCGGTATGACCAACGAGAGGTCAGTTAGGTTTCTCAACGCCGAAATATTTTGCAGTTAGCGAATGCACAAAAGTCATTTGTGGCTAGTTTTGCAAAGTTTTCGATGGATATTCATTCTGATTCTGAATTTTCAGAAAAACTTTTCCCCCTAAAAATATTATGACATGACTACGGTACAATAAAAAATAATAACAAGAAGAGAAAATGAAAACTTTATAATTTTTTTTTATGATTTTTACTTAGACACGTCAACAATACACGTTTTTGTTTTGTTTTTCGCTTTCTTTTTATATTCATCTTATTATTACTTCACAAAATCGTAAACATAAATAATTACTATAAATTACAAATTAAATTCATTTCGGTTCCAAAAAGTTAGTGAAAAATAAAAAACCAAAATTTGTACTTTATATTATTCCTTAGAATGCATAACGTTATATTAAGTAGCAGCTAAGCATTCTTAAGATTGGGTAGATACTCATTTTTTTCACTCGTTCTTTCGCACATTATTACGAGATTCGAGTTGGTCGGTGGGATTCGTCCTAAAGGTAACATTATTTTAATATAATACATATAGCCTGCTGAGTGCATTGTTCAACATAAATGTTGAAATAGGTACTTATATCAAAGTTAAAAAGTATGATATTTTATTTTAGGCAGTTTATGAGGAACTAAAAAATTCGGATTGACAAAAACCTAAACAATTTACCAAAAAATRTATTATTTTAAAAATATTGGCTGCAATAATATCGTTATTTAATAGTTTTCCGTTTATGACGAATCAATCATCGAAAATTCTGAAACCTATTATAATGCGTTTCAAACAAATACATATTGTATAGTCCATAATTTGCTACAAAACTATAACGATAATGATATAATACAGTCGAGGTTGGGTAATTTAAAATTAAAGGGCTAAAAAGTTCGAGTTATTCATGTACGAGTATGATACATATACATGTACAATCCAAGAAAATTCTAGGGACCGAGG